TATTGAAATGTGGCATTTTTTCTTCGTGCACTTCCCTATGTCCAGCTAAAGAACAAGATCAGGATGGCGATGGTCAGTTCTTGAGCTTCGAACGGGCAGAAAGGTGAGAAATTGTCGCTTTTTGACCATTTGTGCCCACGTGTCACTTTCAACGTACCTCGCTAAAACATGACCCAGCTGTGACGTGAGTGGTCGCATTGATTTGATTTTTGGTTTGCTTGTAGGCCGCTGGCACCCGTATTCAGTGACGCCAAAATTTTGGCACTGCTGTGAATAGTTTAGTCGCAAAGTGAAGAATCACGGGCAAAAAGGCCCAAAACTTCGAGATAGCTTGATTTCAGCTTTGAGCAGCCCTGGGCAAGTTGTTTATTGAAATGTGGCATTTTTTCTTCGTGCACTTCCCTAGGTCCAGCTAAACAACAAGATCAGGGTGGCGATGGTCAGTTCTTGAGCTTCGAATGGGCAGAAAGGTTTGAAATTGTCGATTTTTGACCATTTATGCCCACGTGTCAGTTTCAACGTACCTCTCTATAACATCACCCAGCTGTGATGTGAGTGGTCGCATTGATTTGATTTTTGGTTTGCTTGTAGGCCGCTGGCACTCGTATTCAGTGACACGAAAATTTTGGCACTGCTGTGAATAGTCTAGTCGCAAAGTGAAGAATCACGGGTAAAAAGGCCCAAAACTCGGAGATAGCTTGATTTCAGCTTTGAGCAGCCCTGGGCAAGTTGTTTATTGATATGTGGCATTTTCCTTCGTGCACTTCCCTATGTCCAGCTAAACAACAAAATCAGGGTGGCGATGGTCAGTTCTTGAGGTTCGAACGGGCAGAAAGGTGAGAAATTGTCGCTTTTTGACCATTTGTGCCCACGTGTCACTTTCAACGTACCTCTCTATAACATGACCCAGCTGTGTTGTGAGTGGTCGCATTGATTTGATTTTTGGTTTGCTTGTAGGCCGCTGGCACCCGTATTCAGTGACGGCAAAATTTTGGCACTGCTGTGAATAGTTTATTCGCAAAGTGAAGAATCACGGGCAAAAAGGCCCAAAACTTCGAGATAGCTTGATTTCAGCTTTGAGCAGCCCTGGGCAAGTTGTTTATTGAAATGTGGAATTTTTTCTTCGTGAACTTCCCTATGTCCAGCTAAACAACGAGATCAGGGTGGCGATGGTCAGTTCTTGACCTTCGAACGGGCAGAAAAGTGAGAAATTGTCGCTTTTTGACCATTTGTGCCCACGTGTCACTTTCAACGTACCTCGCTATAACATGACCCAACTGTGACGTGAGTGGTCGCATTGATTCCATTTTTGGTTTGCTTGTAGGCCGCTGGCACCCGTATTCAAAGACGCCAAAACTTTGGCACTGCTGTGAATAGTTTAGCCGCAAAGTGAAGAATCACGGGCAAAAAGGCCCAAAACTTCGAGATAGCTTGATTTCAGCTTTGAGCAGCCCTGGGCAAGTTGTTTATTGAAATGTGGCATTTTTTCTTCGTGCACTTCCCTATGTCCAGCTAAACAACAAGATAAGGGTGGCGATGGTCAGTTCTTGAGCTTCGAACGGGCAAAAAGGTGAGAAATTGTCGCTTTTTGACCATTTGTGCCCACGTGTCACTTTCAACGTACCTCTCTATAACATAACCCAAGTGTGATGTGAGTGGTCGCATTGATTTCATTTTTGGTTTGCTTGTAGGCCGCTGGCACCCGTATTCAGTGACGCCAAAATTTTGGCACTGCTGTGAATAGTTTAGCCGCAAAGTGAAGAATCACGGGCAAAAGGCCCAAAACTACGAGATAGCTTGTGTCCAGCTTTGAGCAGCCCTGGGCAAGTTGTTTATTGAAATGTGGCATTTTTTCTTCGTGCATTTCCCTATGTCCAGCTAAACAACAAGATCAGGGTGGCGATGGTCAGTTCTTGAGCTTCGAACGGGCAAAAAGGTGAGAAATTGTCGCTTTTTGACCATTTGTGCCCACGTGTCACTTTCAACGTACCTCTCTATAACATAACCCAAGTGTGATGTGAGTGGTCGCATTAATTTGATTTTTGGTTTGCTTGTAGGCCGCTGGCACCCGTATTCAGTGACGCCAAAATTTTGGCACTGCTGTGAATAGTTTAGCCGCAAAGTGAAGAATCACGGGCAAAAAGGCCCAAAACTTCGAGATAGCTTGATTGCAGCTTTGAGCAGCCCTGGGCAAATTGTTTATTGAAATGTGGCATTTTTTCTTCGTGCACTTCCCTATGTCCAGCTAAACAACAAGATCAGGGTGGCGATGGTCATTTTATGAGCTTCGAACGGACAGAAAGGTGAGAAATTGTCGCTTTTTGACCATTTGTGCCCACGTGTCACTTTCAACATACCTCTCTATAACATGACCCAGCTGTGATGTGAGTGGTCGCATTGATTTGATTTTTGGTTTGCTTGTAGGCTGCTGGCACCCGTATTCAGTGACGCCAAAATGTTGGCACTGCTGTGAATAGTTTAGCCTCAAAGTGAAGAATCACGGGCAAAAAGGCTCAAAACTTCGAGATAGCTTGATTTCAGCTTTGAGCAGCCCTGGGCAAGTTGTTTATTGAAATGTGGCATTTTTTCTTCGTGCACTTCCCTATGTCCAGTTAAACAACAAGATCAGGGTGGCGATGGTCAGTTCTTGAGCTTCGAACGGGCATAAAGGTGAGAAATGGTCGCTTTTTGACCATTTGTGCCCACGTGTCACTTTCAACGTACCTCTCTATAACATAACCCAGCTGTGATGTGAGTGGTCGCATTGATTTCATTTTTGGTTTGGTTGTAGGCCGCTGGCACCCGTATTCAGTGACGCCAACATTTTGGCACTGCTGTGAATAGTTTAGCCGCAAAGTGCAGAATCACGGGCAAAAAGGCCCAAAACTTCGAGATAGCTTGATTTCAGCTTTGAGCAGCCCTGGGCAAGTTGTTTATTGAAATGTGGCATTTTTTCTTCGTGCACTTCCCTATGTGCAGCTAAACAACAAGATCAGGGTGGCGATGGTCAGTTTTTGAGCTTCGAACGGGCAGAAAGGTGAGAAATTGTCGCTTTTTGACCATTTGTGCCCACGTGTCACTTTCAGCGTACCTCTCTATAACATGACCTAGCCGTGACGTGAGTGGTGGCATCGATTTGATTTTTGGTTTGCTTGTAGGCCGCTGGCACCCATATTCAGTGACGCCAAAATTTTGGCACTGCTGTTTATAGTTTAGTCGCAAAGTGAAGAATCAGGGGCAAAAAGGCTCAAAATTTCGAGATAGCTTGATTTCAGCTTGGAGCAGCCCTGGGCAAGTTGTTTATTGAAATGTGGCATTTTTTCTTCGTGCACTTCCCTAGGTCCAGCTAAACAACAAGATCAGGGTGGCGATGGTCAGTTCTTGAGCTTCGAATCGGCAGAAAGGTTTGAAATTGTCGATTTTTGACCATTTATGCCCAAGTGTCAGTTTCAACGTACCTCTCTATAACATGACCCAGCTGTGATGTGAGTGGTCGCATTGATTTGATTTTTGGTTTGCTTGTAGGCCGCTGGCACCCGTATTCAGTGACGGCAAAATTTTGGCACTGCTGTGAATAGTTTATTCGCAAAGTGAAGAATCACGGGCAAACAGGCCCAAAACTTCGAGATAGCTTGATTTCAGCTTTGAGCAGCCCTGGGCAAGTTGTTTATTGAAATGTGGAATTTTTTCTTCGTGAACTTCCCTATGTCCAGCTCAACAACAAGATCAGGGTGGCGATGGTCAGTTCTTGACCTTCGAACGGGCAGAAAAGTGGGAAATTGTCGATTTTTGACCATTTGTGCCCACGTGTCAGTTTCAACGTACCTCGCTATAACATGACCCAGCTGTGATGTGAGTGGTCGCATTGATTTGATTTTTGGTTTGCTTGTAGGCCGCTGGCACCCGTATTCAGAGACGCCAAAACTTTGGCACTGCTGTGAATAGTTTAGCCGCAAAGTGAAGAATCACGGGCAAAAAGGCCCAAAACTTCGAGATAGCTTGATTGCAGCTTTGAGCAGCCCTGGGCAAATTGTTTTTTGAAATGTGGCATTTTTTCTTCGTGCACTTCCCTATGTCCAGCAAAACAACAAGATCAGGGTGGCGATGGTCAGTTTTTGAGCTTCGAACGGGCAGAAAGGTGAGAAATTGCCACTTTTTGACCATTTGTGCCCACGTGTCACTTTCAACATACCTCTCTATAACATGACCCAGCTGTGATGTGAGTGGTCGCATTGATTTCATGTTTGGTTTTCTTGTAGTCCGCTGGCACCCGTATTCAGTGACGCCAAAATGTTGGCACTGCTGTGAATAGTTTAGCCGCAAAGTGAAGAATCACGGGCAAAAAGGCCCAAAACTTCGAGATAGCTTGATTTCAGCTTTGAGCAGCCCTGGGCAAGTTGTTTATTGAAATGTGGCATTTTTTATTCGTGCACTTCCCTATGTCCAGCTAAACAACAAGATCAGGGTGGCGATGGTCAGTTCTTGAGGTTCGAACGGGCATAAAGGTGAGAAATTGTCGCTTTTTGACCATTTGTGCCCACGTGTCACTTTCAACGTACCTCTCTATAACATGACCCAGCTGTGATGTGAGTGGTCGCATTGATTTGATTTTTGGTTTGCTTGTAGGCCGCTGGCACCCGTATTCAGTGACGCCAAAATTTTGGCACTGCTGTGAATAGTTTAGTCGCAAAGTGAAGAATCAGGGGCAAAAAGGCCCAAAACTTCGAGATAGCTTGATTGCAGCTTTGAGCAGCCCTGGGCAAGTTGTTTATTGAAATGTGGCATTTTTTCTTCGTGCACTTCCCTATGTCCAGCTAAACAACAAGATCAGGGTGGCGATGGTCAGTTCTTGAGCTTCGAACGGGCATAAAGGTGAGAAATGGTCGCTTTTTGACCATTTGTGCCCACGTGTCACTTTCAACGTACCTCTCTATAGACCCTTTGCACAGCGTACGCATTATGTCATCATTATCATGACGTCAGGGACCCGTGCTAGGTTGGAAGCAACTTGGGACATGTCCCATCCTCGATTATAATAAATTATTATTGTTTTCAAATTGATATTAGAGTTTTCTTCCCCTTCTTCTTGCGCTTGTTCCTTGCCAAGCAGTCCGCTTTTTGCATTTCTGTAGTCTGTGTCCATTGTGGTGATGGGTATATGTTCTATTGCCCGCTGTACGAAGCGGACGGGTCGAGATAAAATCAAGAGGTTTTCTCTTCCCAATGTGAACTCGAAAACGAAAAGTGCTGACATCGAACTGGTCAAGGAGAGGCGACGGCTGTGGATTGCAGCGATAGCCAGAGCAGACCTAGTTGGGAAGACATTGGATGATGCTCGTGTTTGCAGCGATCATTTCATTTCCGGCCGCCCTTCTGAACTCTGGGACAAAACAAACCCAGATTGGGTTCCTTCGAAGAATTTGCCTGGTCCTGGCAAAAGGAAGGCGAGTGAGGAGCAGGTAGTGGAGCGTTATGCCCGTCGCAAAGCCAGACAGAGAGTGGAGGAGGCCCATTCAGAGGCTGCAGCTTCATTGGATGTCAATGATCCGCCACATCTGTGTGATGTTGGCGTTGCCTCGTTACAACCACCACCATCACCTGATGCTGGGCCTGCTGCTTTGGATCTGTCACCGCCACATGATGTTGATGATGAGAGTGACGTCCTTGTGGAGGAGAGCATGGATTTATCCAATTTTCCACCTGGCCAGCTGGTTCAAGAGCTAGACTTTTCTGAAGAAGGCAGTAAGGACACCAATGACAAATGCGTGGGGACGTTGTTATCTGGTGATGATATAACATTTGCCTTTCAATCTTTAACGGAAGCCACCTTCTCACCTTCTTCCCTCCATGCTCCAACGGCTAGCTCCAACAACTTGGACGTCCAGGTGCAGCTGGCCAGGCTATCTACAGAGAACAAGGGCTTGCAAGATAGGCTGACCAAGCTGACAGCGGAATACAAGGTGCTTGAAGGCAAATTGGCCAGTCACGCGCCGTTCACGCAAGCCAAGTTGCAAAATGATAGCGATGTGCGGTTCTTTACGGGTTTGCCAACCTTCGAGATGTTACTGGCTGTGTACGAGCATGTGCGTGAGGGAATGCCAGACTCATTTGGCTGTGCCTTGTCCCCGTTTCAAGAGATGGTTGTTGCCCTTGTGAAGTTACGGTTGGACTCATCATTACAAGACCTGGGCCATCGGATGGGTGTATCGGCTGGCACCATTTCCCGCATTCTTACCAAATGGTATACAGCCATGGACCGTCGACTATCACATTTGGTTGTCTGGCCAGGGAGGGAGGAGCTACAAGCGACAACACCAGTTTGTTTCAGGGAGGCGTTTGGCGTGAAAGTGTCATCAATCATCGACTGCTTCGAAGTGTTCATAGACAGGCCTTCAAACTTGTACACCCGTGCCCAGACATGGTCGAACTACAAACAACATAACACAATTAAAGTGCTGATTGGGATCACCCCGCAAGGTGTCATCTCCTTCATCTCCGAGCCGTGGGGCGGGCGCGTCAGTGACAAGTATCTAACCCAGCACTCTCAGTTCTTGTCAAACCTTTTACCTGGAGACATTGTCCTTGCAGACCGTGGCTTTGACATCCAGGAGCTAGTTGCCGTGCAGGGAGCCAAGCTCCACATCCCAGCGTTCACAAGGGGTAAGAAGCAACTGTCGGCCGATGATGTGCATACCACCCGCAGCATCGCAAACGTGCGCATCCACGTCGAACGAGTTATTGGGAATCTCCGCAAGAAATATTCTATTTTGCGAGGAATACTGCCGATTGATTTCCTGCGTAGTCGCTCTGGAGATGACCGACCTTTGATTTGCCGTATCATTCCTGTATGTTGTGCCCTGACCAATCTCTGTGATTCGGTTGTGCCTTTCGAGTGACTACACCTGTTGCCTGCGCCGATGACCCGTTTCGACTTCACTTGACTTGTCCACGGAGACGGTGGAGAGCCCGAACGTGATGGCTGTAGAGTGTGTGTGTGTGTTTTGTTGTTGCTGAAATCACAGTTGTCCTTTTTACAGTTTCCAGATTTGCAAGTTACCTCTATTGTAATGACACTGCCATATCATGATCTTTTTTCGCTTCACTTGATTTGTTCACGGTGACAGCGGAGACACCGAACATGTTGGCTGTGGGCTTTTTCCTCTGTTGCTTGTATCTTCTGATCTTATCCCGCAATCTGAGAGCTGCCATGCAGTCCCGTAGATACAGTTTGAAAAAATTTATAACGATTTACTCGTCTTGTGTCCCACATACATGTACAGACAACATTGGTTACAACGACATGCCTCCGGGCCTCAAAATCTTGTCCCTATATCCGCTGTATTGTTAGCTTGTGACAATACACCAGGGGCTTCTTAGCATGCAGCAATACCTACTTCTCGCTTGACTTCAATATACAGCAAGCAGAGCATGGGATATATTTTCACTCCCTGCATGGTTGAGACAAGCAAACACAATGCTTTGTGAGGTAGTGGTATTGTATTGGACTGGGGAACAGCCAAGGAAGGATGCCGCTTTTACGGACTAATATTAGCAGATGTGGAGAGATACTTGTACAAAACTACTACTCGTACGTCAGGCAGGCAAAGAAGAAATCAAATTTAGCAAAGAAATTCAGAAAATCAGAAAACATTCGCGTTCATGCTCTCCACATTCTCAGGTTATAAACAAAAACATCCTACTAGACTAACTTGTAATGGTCATGCCCGCAGTACAGTAGTTAGGGGCCAGGGAGCCAAGAGAGTACTGTGTCACTGGGGTATACAACCGGAATCCTTCTTCATAAACACATACACACACCCGTTACTTGCCCATTGCAACAGCAATGATAGCGAAAAGCTGTTCGTTCATTGTGCGTACAGGCACACACGCACGTACACACACACACATGTGCACACACACACACACACACGCGCGCGCGCGCACACACACACACACACACGCGAGCTATATATGCTAAGGTCATTTCCAGTGGCAAGGGAAACTATAGTGGTTAATGAGTGGCACTACCACCATAAATAACACAAAATGACGAATACGTCAATGACTATAAAAAGGGGTACGCTGTATAACAGCAAGCACACAGCTTTCCATCCTCATCAGTCGTACATATATGATGAAAGTGGTGACCACAGCGGCAAGGACGAAGATCTAAAGAATAGGAGCATCCACTCTTGCAGCAGGCCTTCACCATTGACGGCGAATGAAGTGCCAGACTCGACGCCATCGGATACTGGACTTGGGCGATGCTCGCAGCTGACTGAAGAGAGAGGCTTTGCGTCGTCATTTGGACTGTCGAGGAAGATGTGGCTTCTCTGGCAGGCGACAACATTGGTGGTGGTTGTTGAGGGCCCATGGTAGTGCCAATACTAAGACGAGCACCCTTGGACGTATACCATTTCCCAACGAGCTCTGGCAAGATGCACCCAAAGAAGAACTTCTTCGCCTTTGTAATGAAGTCCTTCCAGGCATCACAGTCCGGGTAGATGCGTTCAACATGTAAATCATTCTTGCCATCCTCAGAGAAGAGGCACAAACACAAATCACAGAAATCTGCTCCCGTAACATACAGCTGGGTCTGGATTTGCAAATAATAAGCGTGAGTCCGCTTGAGCTGTAACTTGCTCCCAACCATTTCCAGGCAAAACTTCTTGTCCTGGGAAGCCGAATCCAATGGAGTCCCCCGATGAGTATAAGGGCACTTCACCTCCACCAGACCGGATCCACAACAATCACATTGGACAATGCCATCCGGTGAGGCAGCGATGAATGGCAGCTCCTTGCTGATGACTAAACCAGAATCAGACACCTCGAAATTCATGTGATTGGCAGATATCATAGCAGTGTACCGCTCCCGTGCAGGGCCTTCGTGTTCTTGTCCCCAGCGTGTAGAGGGAGCACCCTTTGGCAGAGGATCGGGGTAGCATATAGCCTGGATGAGGCTCCTGGATGGAGACTGCGCAGATGTGTGACATATATCATACATTCGGGAAGCCGTCACACGGCCGGCTCTTTGTTCAAACCACACTCTGCTGCCAGATTGCATCCTTGTAGCTGTCTCAACAGCTGCCACTTCCCTCTCGCTTATGTCCACATTACTCTGTGCACACACATCAAGAAGCTGCTCATGGCTCATAGCGAGGCATTCCTCTTGATAAAGGCTATTCAGTGGCTTCGGGAGGGTGGGTGAAGTTTATGCTGGTACATAACCTGATAGGAAAGGCTTGATGACGGACAGGACGGCGGGCTTCGTTTTCAGGGACGCAAGGGTCTTATAGAAGCACTTCTTCTCGGCGTCTGAGGGTAGCTTCACACAGAGGCGCTTTGGGCTTGGGGGAGGTGACACATCTCGATCAAGTGCTTCCTGCCTCTGCTGAGGCGACGAGAAATCAATGTCTGCTACCCTGGCATACTCCATTTCCTTCTGAAAGGTTGGGACCTTCCACTGGCATGGCACTCCAGTTACGGTCGCGGCGGGTTCCTTATGCCGATGAACAGCCTCCAGGAAAAACAGAGTAGCAGCAACATGTGTGCACGTTTCTCCCAAGCCTGCCATACAGTTGCAGTGCGCACAGCAGACAACACCATCGGGGTCTGTGATAAGCCAACAGTGTAGTGGTGTTTCGCTGAACCTTTGTGAGTGACGGACCTGTGAGAGACATGGAGCACATGGAACACATGGAATGCACGTTCATCACTCACCAACAATTTGGAATAATTTGTACATATGCATACTGAGAAATATAGCCCTGGACATGTCCGCAAGAAGGGTATAGTAAGTACTACGTCAAGTCACAATCTCATGGCACAGTAAGTGGCGCATCTAGTACATGTGCTGAAATTTGTTTATCAATTATTCCCCTATAAGTTCAAAATTTGAACCACTTTCATACACACATACTAATCAGGAGTAAATAGCCAACTCAGCAGATTCAGTTTTGTCAGTTCTGCCATACTAGTGTTACCGATGAAGAGTGATTATTTATTGTGATGAACAAAACTCTTACCCGTGCTACAGTGACATGTTTCCCGCAGCACTCGAACGACTTCACTTCCTTCACCCAACCTGATACGAACTGGTTATATGCGTCAAGGCCCTTCTTTGCTTTAAACTGCTTTTTGGAGCAGAAACTCGTTTCATGGACCAAGTAGGACATAAGGTCAGACATTTCCACACACGGCTCAACAGGTTTCGCACCACGAGGAATGCCCAGCATTGGGTCGAATCCAGAAAGCAAAGACAATTTCTCTTCATATCGTTTCTTCCCAATGGAATCCAATTTCTCGGCATACACAGATAACTTGGGGGTAACTACTGGCTGCAGTGGGTCAGATGAGACTACAGGCTCCGTGTCCATCATAACAATCAATACAGACCAGTGGTAGAGCACGATGAAAGTGAAAATATGGACGTCAAAGTGGCATTCTCAATTGCCAAACATTCAATCTCCTTCACCATGTTCACGACATGTCCCATTTTGAAGAAACACCGTGCACGTGACAATGGTGAGTCATGGGTATGACGCGTGGCGTACAAAACGCAGCCTTTTTGGCCGCATATGCAAAGGGTCTATAACATGACCTAGCCGTGACGTGAGTGGTCGCATTGATTTGATTTTTGGTTTGCTTGTAGGCCGCTGGCACCCGTATTCAGTGACGCCAAAATTTTGGCACTGCTGTGAATAGTTTATTCGCAAAGTGAAGAGTCACGGGCAAACAGGCCCAAAACTTCGAGATAGCTTGATTTCAGCTTTGAGCAGCCCTGGGCAAGTTGTTTATTGAAATGTGGAATTTTTTCTTCGTGAACTTCCCTATGTCCAGCTAAACAACAAAATCAGGGTGGCGATGGTCAGTTCTTGACCTTCGAACGGGAAGAAAAGTGGGAAATTGTCGAATTTTGACCATTTGTGCCCAAGTGTCAGTTTCAACGTACCTCGCTATAACATGACCCAGCTGTGATGTGAGTGGTCGCATTGATTTCATTTTTGGTTTGCTTGTAGGCCGCTGGCACCCGTATTCAGAGACGCCAAAACTTTGGCACTGCTGTGAATAGTTTAGCCGCAAAGTGAAGAATCACGGGCAAAAAGGCCCAAAACTTCGAAATAACTTGATTTCATCTTTGAGCAGCCCTGGGCAAGTTGTTTATTGAAATGTGGAATTTGTTCTTCGTGAACTTCCCTATGTCCAGCTAAACAACAGGATGAGGGTGGCGATGGTCAGTTCTTGAACTTCGAACGGGCAGAAAAGTGAGAAATTGTCGCTTTTTGACCATTTGTGCCCACGTGTCACTTTCAATGTACCTCGCTATAACATGACCCAGCTGTGATGTGAGTGGTCGCATTGGTTTTATTTTTGGTTTTCTTGTAGGCCGCTGGCACCCGTATTCAGTGACGCCAAAATTTTGGCACTGCTGTGAATAGATTAGCCGCAAAGGGAAGAATCACGGGCAAAAAGGCCCAAAACTTCGAGATAGCTTGATTGCAGCTTTGAGCAGCCCTGGGCAAATTGTTTATCGAAATGTGGCATTTTTTCTTCGTGCACTTTCCTATGTCCAGCTAAACAACAAGATCAGGGTGGCGATGGTCAGTTTTTGAGCTTCGAACGGGCAGAAAGGTGAGAAATTGTCGCTTTTTGACCATTTGTGCCCACGTGTCACTTTCAACGTACCTCTCTATAACATGACCCAGCTGTGATGTGAGTGGTCGCATTGATTTCATTTTTGTTTTGCTTGTAGGCCGCTGGCACCCGTATTTAGTGACGCCAAAATGTTGGCACTGCTGTGAATAGTTTAGTCGCAAAGTGAAGAATCATGGGCAAAAAGGCCCAAAACTTCGAGATAGCTTGATTTCATCTTTGAGCAGCCCTGGGCAAATTGTTTATTGAAATGTGGCATTTTTTCTTCGTGCACTTGCCTATGTCCAGCTAAAGAACAAGATCAGGATGGCGATGGTCAGTTCTTGAGCTTCGAACGGGCATAAAGGTGAGAAATTGTCGCTTTTTGACCATTTGTGCCCACGTGTCACTTTCAACGTACCTCTCTATAACATGACCCAGCTGTGATGTGAGTGGTCGCATTGATTTCATTTTTGGTTTGCTTGTAGGCCGCTGGCACCCGTATTCAGAGACGCCAAAACTTTGGCACTGCTGTGAATAGTTTAGCCGCAAAGTGAAGAATCACGGGCAAAAAGGCCCAAAACTTCGAAATAACTTGATTTCATCTTTGAGCAGCCCTGGGCAAGTTGTTTATTGAAATGTGGAATTTGTTCTTCGTGAACTTCCCTATGTCCAGCTAAACAACAGGATGAGGGTGGCGATGGTCAGTTCTTGAACTTCGAACGGGCAGAAAAGTGAGAAATTGTCGCTTTTTGACCATTTGTGCCCACGTGTCACTTTCAATGTACCTCGCTATAACATGACCCAGCTGTGATGTGAGTGGTCGCATTGGTTTTATTTTTGGTTTTCTTGTAGGCCGCTGGCACCCGTATTCAGTGACGCCAAAATTTTGGCACTGCTGTGAATAGATTAGCCGCAAAGGGAAGAATCACGGGCAAAAAGGCCCAAAACTTCGAGATAGCTTGATTGCAGCTTTGAGCAGCCCTGGGCAAATTGTTTATCGAAATGTGGCATTTTTTCTTCGTGCACTTTCCTATGTCCAG